CCTGGCGCTTTGGGAGTCGCGGGCTTCTGTGCAGAGATGGCCAAGTCCAAGAACCACACCACGCACAACCAGTCCCGAAAATGGCACAGAAACGGCATCAAGAAACCCCGATCACAAAGATACGAATCTCTTAAGGGGGTAGACCCCAAGTTCCTAAGGAACATGCACTTTGCCAAGAAGCAAAACAAGAAGGGCCTGAAGAAGATGCAAGCCAACGCCAAGGCCATGAGCACTCACGCTGAGGCCATCAAGGCCCTGGTCAAGCCCAAGGAGCCCAGGCCCAATATCCCAAAGGGCTGCAGCCGCAAACTCAGTCAACTTGCCTACATCGCTCACCCCAAGCTTGGGAAACGTGCTTGTGCCCACATTGCCAAGGGGCTCAGGCTCTGCCAGCCAAAGACCAAGGCCAAGGCAGAAACCAAGCCCCAGGCTGCAGGTGCGGCTGCAGCTCAGGCTCTCAAAGGGGCTCAGGCTCCTGCCCCCAAAAGTGCCCACGCTCCCGCTCCCAAAGGTGCCCAGACCCCCACGAAGGCTCCACAGTAGAGGCCTCTGTCTGCCGATGTGAGGACGGAAGGACTGGTGGGACCCCTGGGCTGCTGTCTGCGTGGCGCTGGTGTCCTCCTGTGCTGTTTGTACAAATAAACCTGCGGCAGGATCTGTCAAAAAAAGATAATCAGTGGAACAGAATAGAAGGTGCAAAAGCAATTCAATAGAGAAAGGAAACTGTTTGCAACAAGTGGTACTGGACCAATTGGATATCCATATGCAAAAATGAACTTGGATTTATACTTTGCACCATGTACAAAAAAATAACTTGAAATGGATTATAAATTAAGTCTAAAACCTATATAAAAATTTATAGAAACATAAAACTATAAAACTTCTAGATGAAAACATAAAAGAAAACCTTAATGACCTTGGGTAAGACAATGATTTCTTAGATAGAACACCGAAAGCACAATCCATAAAAGAACAAATTGATAATTTGAAGTTTATCAAAACTTCTTCTCTGCAATGTACCCTGTGAAGAAAATGAAAAGACCAGGCACAGATTGGGAGAAAATATTGGCAAATCTGATATAGGTCCTGTATCCAGAATATATAAAGAACTCTCAGAACTCACAATAAGAAAACAACCCAAATTTTAGAATGGACAGATACTTAATCCATAAAATGTTCAGATGGCAAATAAGTGCATGGAAAGATTCTCAACATTAGGGAGATACAAACTAAAATTACCAGGAGATACCACTACCCATAAGAATAAAATGAAAAAGACTGACCATACCAAGTGTTGACAAGAATGTGGAGGAACTGGAACTTTCATACACTGCTGGTGGGAATGTAAAACGGGACAGCCACTTTGGAAAACACTTTGGTTGTTTCTTGAAAAGTTAAACATATGCCATATGACCCAGCCATTCCACCCCTAAGGATTTCCACAAAGTAAAGACAGTGTATGTCCACACAGGCAAGCAGCTTTATTTGTAATAGCCCCATGTTGGAAACCCCAAATGTCCATTAGCAAACTGTAGTCTATCCATCCAATGGAATACAGCGTAGCAATAAAAATGCAAAAATCATCAATTCATGTAACAATATGGATTATACCCAACTATTAAGTTGAGTGAAAAGCCAGACAAAAAAAGAGTGCACATTGTATAATTCCATTTATATAAAATTCAAGGAATCCAAACTATAGTAACAGAAAGCAGATCAGTAGTTACCTGGAAATGGAGTGGTGAAAGAAAAGATTATGAAGCATGAGGAAACCTTTCAGGAATGATGGGTGTTCCTCTCTGCATGATGGTTTCAGGGGTGTATACCTATGTCAGAGACTATCAAATTATCTACTTTAAATACGGGGGGGGGGGCTAGCCAGCGTGGCTCAGTGGTTGAGCGTCGACCTATGAACCAAGAGGTCATGGTTCGATTCCCAGTCAGGGAACATGCCCAGGTTGCAGGCTCAGTGCCCAGTGGGGGTCATGCAGGAGGCAGCCAATCAGTGATTCTCATCATTGATGTTTCTATCTTTCTCTCCCTCTCCCTTCCTCTCTGAAATCAATCAATAAATAAGTAAATAAATACAAGGTGGAGCAAAAGGAGGTTTACAGTTGTTAGTATGCAAAATACAGAGTTCATAAAGCTGTTGTAATAATCATAACCTGCATGTCTTCCTCCATACAAACAACTGTAAGCCTACCTTTGCCCTACCCTGTATGTGCATTTATTGTATTTCTACTGTTCCTCAATAAAGATATCTTTAAAAGATATTAATGGGCCCTGGCTGGTTGCTCAGTGGTTAGAGAATTGGCTCCCAGACCAAAGGGTCATGGGTTTGATTCCTGGTCAAGGGCATGTACCTTGGTTGCAGATTCTATTCCTGGCCTCAACTTGTGCAGGAGGGAACCAGTCGAAGTGTCCCTTTCATATGGATGTTTTTCTTTGTCTCTAACTACCCCCCTCCTCCCTCCCTTTCACTTTCTTTAAAAATCAATGGAAAAAATATCCTCGAGTGAGCATTTAAAAAAAAATTATATATATATATATATATATATATATATATATATATATATATATATATATATATGGCAGATTCTAGTGAAAAGACCACTCTGACCAACTGTGCCTTAAGCAAGTCGCTGCACCTCTAGTTTCCTAATGTATAAAGTAGGAATAATATTACTTTCCTTGTAGGGTTGTTGTAATAATAATTTAAAATAACATGTTAGATATCTTTTATACAAAATAGGTGCTCCAGTAGTAATAGAATATAATAACGCTTTCAAAATAACAAGAAGAAAAGTAATTACCTGAATCTAAAGTGCCCTGCTTGCATATATCTGGAGAGATTTCTTTGGAGGGTTTGAAGCCATTGCCCCTGGCTTCCCAATTCCTTAGGTCACAGATTCACATACAATGACTTGCAGTTCATAACGTGGTAATATTCGACCCACTCATTTCTCTTACTCTCCCACATCTCTGTTCCTAGTTTGGTCAGATCTGAAAGGGGAGTCCCTTAGTCTCTGCCACTGTACAACCCTACCCACCGGCCACCCCACCACCTCATGGTCTCTTTCTCCTCCTCCTAATGTTGAGACCTGGAACCACACAGACTTGTAGCGGTCAGTCAGGAAGAAAACTCTCCTGGGAAGATTAAGCGAAGATGTGTGTCAATCACATAGCATGGTTCTGGGCTCATTGAGACATGTAAATGCTAGAATATGGACAAGGTCACCTGTTCCTGTTCTGGTGTCCCCCTCACACACCCAGAGAGTCTTTGGAGCCAATGAATTCCCAATCGGGTCTAGGCACGTGGGAGGAAAAGGTAGACACCATCCCTGCCCTCAAAGAGTGCACAGTTCATGAGCAGCTGAGTGGGGAACATGGCTGGGTTCAAAGAGGGGGAAATCAACGTGAATGGAAGTCGTTGGGAAAACATCATGAAAAAGAGGACAAAGAGAACCTTGTTTGTGTGTGCTGTGTGTTTGCAATCCCCAACCCTTTAGCCTGGTATAAGGCTTGTGATTGGACCTTAATTAATGTGTTTTGTTGAACAAGTGAATGAGGGTAGCTGGAGATGGTATTGTCAGAAGGAGAGAAGGGCTGGGAGCAGCTGAGGCCCAGAGCTGGGAATCAGGAGGGCCCATTTGGCTAAAGAAAGGCCCAGCCCAGGAAAGAGCCTGATGCGGGGGATGGGGTGGGGGTGCGGGATGAACGGCAGAATGAAGAGCCTGGACACCAGCTTAGAGTATCTAGCAAGGTACTCTGCAGGGGGCAGCGCCACCATATCCAGGTCCTCCCTTTGACTCTGTTGGGTCTTCAGAAGCTGGAGGTACACTCCCTAGTTCCCCAGACAAGCTGAGCCAAATGGAGAATCTTCTAGCTCCTTCTCCCACCCACAGATTGGCACCTGCTCTGAAGGGGAGTTGGAGGCCCTCTGTCCCCTTTTCACAGGGACTCCCCATTCCTGGCTAGAGGAGCCGCCTGACAGGACAGTGCTCATTCAGCTGGCACACAGGTTCTCACACATTTACACGTGCCACTCACTTGTGCTCCTAGTCACCTCTGAACATCAGGGAACCAATACGAAAGCCAATCAGAAAACTAGCAGGGACTCCTGGCCGAGCCAGTCAGGAAGGAACAGACGTTAAGAACAGGCTGTGCTGACCAGGGTACCGTGCACAGTGTCCTGAGCCAGCTGGCTCCGGTCCCACCTGCTCACTGCTGACCAGGAGCTGGAACACAACTCAGGGCCTGCAGGCAAGGAGCTCAGGGCAGAAAACTGAGCTGGCAGCCGACCTGCCTGGTGCCTCCTGGACCCTGTTTTGAACCCTTAGAGCCCTCCCTTGCGTCTCTTGAGATTGTTCAAGTTGCTAGAACCATTTGGCAACGTGAGGAAAAGTTACTTCATCCCAAACCAAATGATTTCCCATTTGAGCACTGCACCGAGGCCTGTGGGTGTTCAGAGTGCCCACTAAACCCCTCCAACCCTGGACCTGGGTGGGCTGCTCCCTCCCTTTAAGATACATTCCTGACAGATACTCCAAGGACTGTGCTCCAAGGACTGTGCTAAAGGGACGTTTTGAGCAAAGAAAGAACAACATTTCTTTCTGCCCAGCCGTGGAGAAGTGGGGTTTTCCTCCATTGGAGACAGATTGGAACACAAGTCCTTTGGATCAAGGCTTCTTGATCTAGCTCTGAGCTGGAAAGGAATTCCGTTCTCTTTGCCGTCCAGCAAAGGCGCCCTCCTCTTTGCCCCTCTCCCTGGCTGCCCCCACCCAAACCAGAGCCTTGTTTCTCCTGCCCAGGTGCTTTGGGCAGCAGCCACAAGCCCTGAGCAATGGAGTTTGAGCTTGGAAAGCCCTTCGCCCGGAATGTGCATGCCTCTCTGTGGCCGTGGCCGTGGCCGTGTGTGCGTGTGTGTGTGTGGACTTGCACGTGAGCGTGTGTGACAAAAATCGCTTCTGGAGCATGTTGCCCTCTGTCTGCCCATCCAGGTTACTCCTCGCTGCAGGACGAGCTGCTGTCCCCTGCCTCCCTGCACTACGCGCTTCCCTCTCCGCTGCGTGCAGACCAGTACTGGAACGAGGTGGCCGTCATAGACGCCATCCCCTTGGCGGCCACGGAGCATGACGCCATGCTGGAGATGTCTGACATGCAGGTGTGGTCCGCGGGCCTCACACCCTCTCTGGTCACTGCTGAGGACTCCTCTCTGGAGTGCAGCAAGGCCGAGGACTCTGACGCCACCGGCCACGAGTGGAAGCTGGAGGGGGCGTTCTCCGAGGGAACCCAGGGCCCCACGCTGGGCTCTCTGGACCTTGTGGAGGATGACACAGTGGATTCAGATGCCACAAATGGCCTTATCGATTTGCTTGACCAGGAGGAAGGTCAGAGGTCAGAAGAGAAGCTGCCAGGTCATAAGAGGCAGGAGGACTCGACAGGTGCAGGGCAGGACTCAGAGAATGAAGTGTCTCTTGTTTCAGGCCAGCAGAGGGTGCAAGCCCGCATCACAGAATCCCCCACTGTGAGTCGGGTGATGGAGACAAGCCAGGACAGGTAAGGGCTGGGCTGCCGGGGTGGGATGCCTTTCCTCGTCCTGGGTTTCCGGGTGACATTGTGCCTGGCCTTGAATGCTTGGGTGCTGCTGCCCACCCTGACTGTGTTCTAAACGTCCTGGGACAAATCCATTCAGTATCACCAGCTGGCCTCCGAAGCCGCCCAGAGCTCAGTCTGACCCCTGTCCTGTGAGAATGGAACTGTGGTCTGCAAAGGCCAGTTCCTCCCCAAGACACCCCTGGCTGTGGCCCGCAGGAGAGAGAGGCTTAGGGTGTTGGGATGAGGGAGCACACTTAGGGGAGAGGTTCTAGGCTTGGAGGAACCACGTCTCTAAGTGCAGCTGGGGCTGGGTGCCTGGGCCCCTATCACTGCGGAGTGCTTATCGTTGAAGACCATATTTAGAAACCTACAAGCCCCAGGGCCCGGGAAGTCATTCGTGTGGTCACACAGCTTGCGTGTGACAGAGCTGATAATGGTGCCCTTTCTCCTTTACCTTTTTGAAACAGTGAGGCTGGTGGGTTTATCTAGGACAGGACAGAGCTTTCAGCTGTCAGAGCCGGCTGTTCTTGTGGGTGACTCCTCACCAAGCTCCCTGTGACTAGAAGGCCTGGTGCCGTGCCAGCAGCAGGGAAGCATCGGTGGCAGTTCGGGCAGAAGGGCCTTGTGCACCTCGGGGACCCAGAGAGCCCTCAGACACAGAGAGCTCACAGCCACACCATGGACACCACACTCCCGGTGCTCCGAGTGCCGAGGGGGCTCGCGGCGAGGGGGAGAGAGGAGACAGGCATGGGGCGGGTCTCGCGTTGGCCCTCCTGGACCGGCTGGCACAGGAAACAAGCGACCGCAGCTGTTTCTTCCATGTCACTGTGCTTCCTCAATTCTCCCTAAAGCAAGGACACAGTTTATGTGTTCCAGAAGGCTGCGGCCACCCAAGGAGCTCAGGCCCGGCCAGGCCTTGGGAAACCTGTTCTCCTGTCCCCTTCCCATCCACACTGCTCCACTCAAAATGTGGAGCTGACTGGCCAGTCCCCAGGGTCCACTCAGTGTGGCCCAAAGACCATTGGAGGAGGGAGAGGAAGGTCGTTTAGAAGATGCAAGGATTTATTTAGTTCCCAGACTAATCCTTTGAGTAGGGGGAGGGGGAGAATTGGACAGACTGAGCCCGTGAGGGTTCAAAGTGAAATACTGGCTTTCCTGTGAGAGAGACCATCTTCCAACAACGCTGATGGCCATTCACCCAACAGCATTGATTGAACACTTAGCTGTGTGCTGGCCTCTGCACCGTGGCCACAGCGGGGTCACCAGATGAGGAACCAGAAGGCCTGGACGCTGGGCCTCAGGATGTTACAGTGTGGCTCTGGGACCTTGGTCAGCCCTCTGATGGGGACGAATTTTGTTCACTCACTCAGCAATATGTCTTGAGTGCCTACTATGTGCCAGGCATTTATAAAAAATGCCTAGGTACTGGGGATACGGCACTGAACAAAACAGACAGTCTACCCGTAAGAAGTTTCTATTCTAATGGAGAAACTGATGGTAACCAAGATAAGGTAAATAAAATTAAAAGAGAAATGCTAGATATTAAGTGCTAAAAAGAAAAATAAAGCAGAGAATGGGAGCAGGAGGTGTGGGGGGCAGGGGGAGAAGGGGTGGTTGGAATTATAGATAAGGTGGCCAGGGAAGCCTGGGAGAGTGACGTTGGAATAAAGACTTAAAGGAATTAGGGGTGACATCCAGCCAAAGGCCCAGCTAGTGCAGAGGCCTTGAAGTAGGGCATGCCCGGCACAGTTAAGGCACAGTGAGGAGGTCACTGTGCCTACCATAGATCAAGGAAGATGGGGTCGGGGAGGTAATGAGGCCAGACGTGTCAGGCCCTGAGGCTCATAGAAAGACTTGGGCATTTACTGGGAGGAATGCGGAGCCATTGGAGGGTTCTGAGCAGAGGAGTGAGGTGACCTAACAGATGCCTTGACAGCCTGACATGGCCAAGGGTAGAAACAGGGAGATGAGCAAGGAGGCCAGTGTTGGTGATGTGGACCAACATGGTAGCTGTGGTGGTGGCAAGAAGTGGCTATGCTCAGCGTATATTTTGAAAGTTGAACCAAAAGGGGTTTGCTTACAAATAAGCGTGGAGTGTGAGAAACGGAAGTCAAAGAGCTCACCAGTGTCCTTGACCTCACAACTGAAAGGATGAAGGTGCCCTTTACCACAGACTGGGGAAGACTGGGCGGAACTGGTCTGACCGTGTCCTCAAGGTCCCTGTCAGGAATCCGGAGGAGAGATGTTGAGGAAGCCATTTCCCACCTGCAGTTCGAGGAGGTGGTGCTGGAGACAGGCACCTGGGCATGAGCACATGCGGATGGGGTGTAAAGCCATGGCCTGAACGCGCTCCTTTAGGAAGTGGGTGTAGATAGAGCTGAGGTCTGAGAATTGGGCCCTGGGTGCTCCAATGTTCAGAAGTCAGGGAAATTAGGAGGAACCAACAAAGGACATGGAAAAGGAGAGGCCAGAGAGTGGGGGGAAACCAGGCAAATGGGGTGTCCCAGAGGCCACAGAAGAGTGTGTTTCCAGGGGGAGGGAGTGACTGCCTTTCAGGCGAGCATAGAGATGAGGACTGTTGAGTGCAGGCGGCCTGGAGGGCTGGAGGGGAGGGGAGAAACGTGATGGGTGCGGAGGCCCCATGACTGGATCTTTGGTGTGAGCCTAGTGCCTTGGGAGCCCAGAGTGGGGCCATCCACTCAAAAGGAGGGAACCAATGGCACTGGTACCCGTGGCCCTTCCCACCTGGACAGCATGGATGGCCCACCTGTACCTGTCTGGACAGGGCAGTCAGCTATGTGATTTGCTCACACTCTCCCGTCCCTCGGGTGGGCTGTATAGGGTGTGTCCTGGGTGAGCCAGGGCTCTGGAGGGGGAGGGTATCTCAAAGAGCAGAGACTGAAGGGTGACCAGGTGTCCTTTCTCTCTTCCGGGACCCCAGACTGCAGGACTGGGATGGGGAAGGCTCCATTGTCTCGTACCTGCAAGATGCTGCACAAGGTTCCTGGCAAGAGGAGGTCACGCGAGGCCCACACTCATTCCAGAGAACCGTCACCACCGTCAAAGGGCTGGAGCCCAGTGGGTCTCGGGAGTATGAGAAGGTCCTGGTGTCTGCGACTGAGCACTTGCAGCCAGAGCAGAGAGCCTGCAGGCTGACTGGGAACGAAGACAACAAGGCCACCGAGAGCGGGTGCAGGAGGCAGAGAGCACCTTCTCCCAGCTGGTAAAGGTGAGAACCCACAGGGAGGGGCCTGCTGATGCCTGTCCCAGCACCAGGCCACCTCCTCTTCACTCAGCCCAGAGCCGAGCATGTTTATTTGCTTTAAGCATTGTGGCGGTGACTTCACTTTCTCTAGAAGCTTCCTTGGTCTTGGTCTGTCTGCCTCCTTGACCCCTACTGAGGGAAGGGAGGGGCTGACCTGTGTGGAGCTCCTGAGCGCTCAGGCACAGCCTGTGCTGTCATTATCCTCACAACTGCCCGGCTCCCAGAGGTGATTCCCATCTGCAGCTGATGGTTGAGCAACTCGCCCAAGGTCACAGGGTCAGAAGTGGGCTTTGAGTCCAGTCTGGCTGACTCCAAAGCCATGGGTCTTGTTTTCTCTTTTCGTCATGTTTTAGAAAGGACTTAGAGCTGGGTGTTGGGCTAACTGGTCCAACCATGGTCTGCGTGGCTGTGGACAAGCCCCTCTCTTCTTGGCACCTTGGTTTCCTCACTGGTAAACGAGGAGTGAATGGATTATCGCCGAGGTTCACCCAGCGGGAATTCTGGTTCCGGGTTGGGCTCATCAAGGGGCACAGGAGAGGGACGGGGAGAACCTTCCCACCACAGACTCGCTCTCCTCTCCTCCAGTTCCCTGGCCTGATCCTCCATCAGCTCTCCCTCCTTCCATCCCTTTCAGTTTGTCCTACTGTACTTTTTTTGTTTGTTCACTTTTATCTTCATGCTCCATTCCCATTTTCTTGCCCCTCCTCATTCCCACAGGCATCCACTTTAATGTGGTTTTTGTTTGTTTGTTTGTTTAGATATATTTTTATTGATTTCAGAGAGGAAGCCAAAGGAGACACAGAACACACACTCATGCACACATTAAAAATACATGGGCACAGACCAGCAACGCCAATTTCATAAGGGAGCGAGAGATAGAAACATCAATGATGAGAAAGAATCATCGATCGGCTGCCTCCTGCATGCCCCACACTGGGGATGGAGCCTGCAACCCGGGCATGTGCCCTGACCAGGAATCAAACCATGACCTCCTGGTTCATAGGTTGACACTCACTGAGCCATGCCAGCCAGGAATTAATGTGTTTTTTGAAAAAAAGGTTTTATTATGAAAAACTGCAAATAAATACAAAACAGACAGAATATCATATCAACTCTCCATGCACACACCACCCAGGCTGCACAATTACCTACTCATGGACAATCTTGTTTCATCTGAACCCCCATCCACTCTCTCCCACCTCCCCCAGATTATTTTGAAGCAAATTCCAGATATCTTATTAATGTCTTTTTTAAATGTACGGGTTCTTATGAAATTGGCGTTGCTGGTCTGTGCCGATGTATTTTTAATGTGTGCATGAGTGTGTGTTCTGTGTCTCCGTTGGCTTCTTACTGTTCAGTCAGCACCGTTTCCTCACCCAGGATCTGCCTCCTTCCTCCTGGTCTCGCCTGCTGCTTTCTTCTCTTCCTGTGCTCCTACCTGAAACC